AAATCATGCGGGAAGTACTTCAATTACGTAAAAATCTAAGTCAGTTTGTAAAAATCCCCCAAGTGTATTCATCAATGGACAGAATTCATCTCTTTTCTGCTTTTCTTTCAAGAAATCGCCAAGTTTTGCTATAATTAAAGACAAATTTATGGTGTATTTATCGAGCACTTCCCCTAAACTTCTATGACATTACACAGCATTTTCTGCCTTGTTTGATGTTTCACACATTTTCCTACCTTCTAAACGCTTCACTTATCTCTTAGCTTCAGTTTTTAATGCACTTAAATTTCATCCCCCCTCTCTCCTCATTTAAGTACGCTTCAACTTCGTGGTTTATTATTAAAAATTTCAAAAATTTCGCTTGGAAATTAATAAAACTCTCGAAATGTGGAAGGATAAATATAATTAGAATCTTCTAAAAAATCAGGAATATCTCAAATTTCGCTCATTATTTCGATTTCTTTGATGTTCTTTAGGCTCCATCTGTGTCTCTTTATATAGTATTTTGGTTACGAAATGATTTTGATGCGTAATTTATGATGATCAGTTGCTAATTTGTGTCAAAAATTGCTATTTTTGCGATAATTTCGAATAATTGTCGTAAATGATTGAGGCAAAGATCATCATCCGTTCTTTGTTGCATTGGAATTTCAATTGAAACTCAACGTTACACGTGCTAATTACTTGTTGTTATTTTTAGAAATTGCATATTGTTATGCAAATTAGTGATTTATATCTAAAAAAAATCCTTTGTATATTTATTACTAAAGTAGCAGGATCTTGATTAGATTAACGTCGAGTTCTAGTTGAGGACCAATATTACCATGAGGATGGATGATGATTTTTGCCTTTTTCGAAGATAATTACACTAAATTATGTAAATTTTGAACTCAAATTAGCAAGTAAACACAATAAATTAACCACTAAATGCATAAATTCCTAATATTTTATACCTAAAAATATTTAAAAAAGAAAAAGAATGGCACAAACTTGAAGCACTTCACGCGTGTTAAGAAGTGCTCGTAACAGTTAAATTTTTATAAAATAAACTAAATTTATTTAAAAATTTATATATTTTATTATTTAAATTCGAAGAATTTAGAGAATTTTACAGTATTCTACCGCTTAAAAGTCGCACGTATTGTTACACTTTCAGATACTTGGCGTAACTAATATCAGGCGACTGTAATCTTTTCCTATTGTAAATGGAGAGAGACAAATGCAATAGCAGTTCCTCTACTAAGTCGATGCTTGATCGAATCACCCGGAAACACTGCACATGTCCGGAAATTGAACTCACTGCACTTCCTATTTATCGCTGACGTGTGTAAAGTTTTCTTTATAATCTTACAATGCTCATAATACTGCTTTAGTTTTGCGTTCATGACGTTTTAATTTGATTGAAATTAATACGTAACGCCGATTTTCATTAAAATTTGCAAATATTTTCTACTTAAACAAACATTCTTACAATTTAAACTGGATGCTTTAAAAACGATTACGAAGCGCGCTACATCTAGATGCTCCCGAAGTACCTCAAAGAGCAGCAACGGCTGTACAACTACGAACAAAGAGTAAGCGTTGCACTTCAACTAAACAAATTTGGTAACTCAGAACATGTAACACGCGTTGCTTTTAGACCTTTCTAAAATTTGCAAGCGTTAACGGATCAAAAAATAAAAAAATCCTTTACCTTTTCTGAAGTTTCGCGTACCCATCTAATTGGGTTCGCGCGAACTACGCGAATAGTGCATCAAAGAAAACCCTTTTTTTTAATGAAATTTTTTCTTTCTTAATCTAGCAATCACTCCTAAAGTGGGAATAGATTGTAGGGAAAGAACTTCAAAGGGCCTACAGTAGATGTAACACTGTTAACAAAGGAAAATGGTGCGACCAGGCGTGCCTTGTCTACAAGGCCATGTAATGGGTATAGAATACAAGACAACACACAACACGACAATTATCTACGAACTCAGCCACCATCACGTTTCTGGGTTGGATTAAGGAGTGTCTACTTTTCTCCTTCGACTCCCGTTTCCGCTGAAATTAAATTGTCTCGTGTCGACTTCTTTTCTACAATGATACATTCCTTTGTTAAGATTCAATCACAAAAGTTGGAATTGTATTGAACGGATCGAGTAAACTCACAGGTAATTACGTGTTTCCTCTTGTCACCGGGCACGACAATCTTCCTTTAGTAAATTACATCCCCCCAATAAATGAAAGTTACAGAGGATTTTAATTTAAAAATATTTAATTATATAGGCCTATATTACAATTTTTTTTAAAATTATTTTATATGTAAATATTTAAACTCCATTATTATGCAAATTTATGCCAATTGAAAAGTTTATAAAGCTGTAAATTTATTAAATTTATAAAAATTAATTTATGTATCGAGAGTGTGGGGGAAGGAACGATTTTGTTCACTCTCTTTGAAGCTTTATAATACCTAAGCTTTTTGTCGAAAATTTCTAAAATTTTGCAGGGAGGTTTGTATATTAGGTGGATTTATGCTGTTAAATTTTAGTAATTAAAGGTCCAGGGGATGGGGAAATAATGAGACTCGCGTGTATCTCCCATGGGGTCAAACTTAATGATGATTTTACTCGTTATTATCATTTACAATTTCTTATAAAACACATCCCTACCCTCAAAATTAATCATTATGCCATTTGATAATAATTAATAATATAAAAGTTATTTTTAATAAAATCTCGTAACAGATGGAGCCGCACGCAATTTTAACCTCTTTTTTTTGCCGGAAAAGTTACGCAACTCTGCTGTATTTTTTCAAATTTATTTTTTTTAAATTATTCCCGAAAATTACTTCATGATAATTCTTAAAAAAAATTCCAAATTCCAATAAAAAAAACATGTGTAATTAAATCATTTAATACTGTACCTTTTTATTGATAAATTATTATTATTTTTTAATGTATTTTTCTGTTCACACTGTTTATTAATTACGATAAAGGTATAATATTTAATTTCTTTATTTAAAAAAATATATTCCAGGTTTTCTTTGATTTTATTTCGACGTTACAGAGAGGAAAGAAATCCAAGAATCTCTTCCATGTGTTATATAGGTGTAGTAATTAATTTACCAGGAGACTAACAGTCGGGGTTGAACAACATTCATTTTACCTAATGCTCCATCGATCGTTTGAGCTTTGATATAACACACAATATTTCTCAGCTTTAAAAAACATTTAAAAAATCATGTAAAAAAATCCATAAATTGGTTTTTTAGACGTTCCACACGTTTATATATAAATTTATTTATTTATTGACATTAACCTTCTATTTAAAAAATAAGAGAGGTCACTACACTTCGATAATTTATTAAATTTTAATGCTTTGGTAATTTTTTTTTAAAATCATTTTCTAAGAAAATAAATAAATATAAATAGATTTTTATTTATTTTTTTTTGGAAGAATTTTTTAGGACGGAGCTTTTACGAAAATTAAAAATGTATTTTATAGTACCTTTACACGTTATATTCGGGTAATATTAATCAATTGAACGTGTATCACGTGACCTTTTTATGGTAGTATTTGGGGGGGTTTTATTACTAAAGTAGCACAATAACCTGAGCGTTGTAAGGAGGTTGTAGTGGAACAGCTTTACTCTCCGCATCACAAGGAATCTTTATAGTAATTAATCAATTTAATTACATTAATTGCACTTAGCATTAGCGGAATGGAGACCTTGGATTTCTGAAGACAAGGGGTGAACATGTTCAATTTGACTATAATTAATTGTCGCTGACCTACCGTCTCTCCTATGTGATTAAGTAAATTGATTGAAGACTTTTAGATTTTATTAAACTTACGACTTTATATACTTTTTTTTAGTTGTTCTTCTTCAATTTTAAGGGAAATTTTAATTAGGTTTATAGTTAAAATTCTTCTGGTTTAAGTATACCTGAGTTGTGGGGATTTTTGAAGGGAAACGTGCTCGGAATTTGGAGAATTTCAAGAGGAATTAGTGCTCGAAATGTGGACATTTTTGAGGTGAATATGCTCGAAATTGGGAGATTTTATAGGAAATTGTATGTTTAAAATTTGTGTATTTTGTGTTAAATCTGGAAAAAAACTATGCCTAATAGAAATTTTGACACTAAAATGTCCTTGAAATGTGAGAATTTTGATACTAAAACGTTCTTAGACTATAGGAATTGTACTGTACCACGATACTGTACTTAAACAGTGAAACTTTCACATAATTCGTGTTTAAATATATATAAAATTTTGAAACAAATATAGTTAAACTATGAAAATTTAGACAGTAAAATACATTTAAATCATGACAAAAACTCAGTCATAAACCATAGAAATTTAACAGAGACATTTACTTGAAGCACAGTTTAAAACAATAGGAGTTATGAGACTAAAATTTAGTTAAACAATGGCTATTTTATATTAAAAAAATATGTTTAAACTATAAAACTTCGGCCCTAAAAATAATTAAATTTCGTGCTTAAATTGCAGAAATTTTAACAGAGACACGTGAGAATTCTAATACTAAATAATACCTAAAGTATAACAGGTGAAACTGTTGAAATTTCAGTAGAAAACAATGCCGAAACAATGTCTTAGACAGAGTTTCTCCTTCCTCATTTCATTTGAAACTGGATAATCTTATTTTGGAAGCAATACATAAAATATATTTGATCGATTTTCTTACGTAAACATTATGGATATCAATCTGGCATTAAAACCAACTTTTATATCAACCAAGATCTTATAAATTTATCTTACTGTCGGAAAGATGAAAGTCCACTTATAGATCTTCTACGTTAAACAAATAAAATAAATCAAAAACAAAATTTTTTTTGGGGGATTAAATTCTAAAACAGAAAAAAAAGATCCTTCTCCTTTCTTGTATTTTAAAANTTTCATCTCATATATATATACATCTTAATTGTTACTGGTTATTAAAGGTTCTGTTTTTATTTTTATTTTACTGTAAACATTACAGTGAAACTCATACACCACATGCTTAATACTCGTGTGGTGCTAGAAAGATCTCTTTTGTGTTTTGATAAATATAAAGTGAACATTCTTTACACATTAAAAAATAATTTATTTACCAGAATTCTGTTTCTCAACATCATAATTACTTGCATGTCTTTGTAGCAAATCCATAATTGTTCCAATCATCACAAGCAAAATTAAACTCGAGATAAAAATGCTGAATATAAAATTTTATAATTATTTTCTCGAAATTAATTTTTTTAAATGTAATTATTCTTTTTAATATTTATTTTACATTACAACTTTCTGTTCTGTATTCACAGTAACTGGAGCATCGCTGTCACAATGGCTAGCTTTTACGATTCCTTCAATTCCAATGTTATTCAAAACTTCACATTTTTTTGAAAATTAAACAGCAATTTAATATTTATTTGATTAAATTTTTATATTCTGCTTAAAATAATTAATAAAATCTTACATTTTTTTAAAACTATTTGAATATCTTCAGAACTACAGGAAGAGGGAACACATATTCCAACTCTAATAGCGTGTTGAAGATAAACGTGAGCGTAACCGACTAAACTATTCTGTACCTAAATGATATGAAAATTTATAAAATCTTTTAAATTTTTCGTAATTTCGTAATTTTAAATTTATGAGAAATATAAAATCTGTAGCTGCATACAGAATCTTTGTCAGTAATATTAAGAAAATCGGGAACTGTGTCGTAAGATGAAATATCCTTTGCGACTGAAGGGGGAGGTAAACGATAATCGAGAATGCAATAACGGGGAGAAAAGTTCTTCCAGTCTGTGTTAAAAGTCTTCTTTACATCATCAACAAGATGTTTGCATTGATAATAAGATCCAAAATCTGTTAAAGTTCCACCGAAATGTCCTACTGGTAGTTTACCCCATGAATCAAACACTAGAAATAGAAATTTTAGTTAATTTGTTGAAATGAATAATTTTCTAAAAAAAAACAGGAAGAATAATCGTCAATGAGAGGTGATTAAACTAAGCCACAATATAGATTACGATCGGTACATAGAGAAAATTCCATTGGTTTGTACAGTAGGTAGGGACTGGAAAAGGGAGAAGCTATCAAATGTTGTAGACAAGGTAAAGAATTTTATGTCTTATTCCGGAAAGGATACATTTCCTTCACGTTTTAAAAGGCTATAAACCAAATCGTTAAATAAGTCTAGCACTTTGGTTTTTCTTTAGCCCTTTGGCAATACTCATCATACGCACCATAAATGCTTACAACGTTTGCCAACTAAGTATATCTGCGTAACTTTCAAACGTGAAAAATNGTAAAATTAATTATAAATTTTTTTATTATTATTTATTTGTATAAATAAAAACAAAAAATTTCCAAACATTTTTTTTTACTTTATAATTAACCTAAACAGCTTTGATATTTTCTCATTTCTCACGTTAATTAACGTGTAAAATTGATGTTTTTTTAAAGAATTAAATCATGTAAACAATTAAAAAATAAAAAAACACTCAAAATTTATTTTGAAAAAAATTTTATAGTTACGATTTCCCTCGTTAAAGTTTAGGGAAGTTGAAGAGGCAAATTTGCTTAAATTTTCAGTAATTAGAAATATAAATCAGTGTTTTTCTAAAGTAAATCACATAAAAAAATCAAAAATTCAAAAAAATTTTATAGTTTTAAGTGTAAAAACACTCGAAATTCATCTTTGAAAGTGCATTTTTTTATGCGCTCTTTCTATAAACTATGACCAATTTGGGCAAAATTTAGCTAAAATTATCGATAAAAAAACTAAAACGTGTAAAAATTATTATAAAATAAATAAATGTACAATATGAGATTGTAAAAAAACTGAATTTTTTTTAAATCCCTCATAAAGTTAGAATTTACTCAGCTAAACTATGGACAATTTGTGCTTTCTCGAGCATTTAACTTTAAAAAGATATATATATTTTTTTTAAAATTATTTAAAAAATACAAATTAATGAATAATTTTCTAAAAAAAAACAGGAAGAATAATCGTCAATGAGAGGTGATTAAACTAAGCCACAATATAGATTACGATCGGTACATAGAGAAAATTCCATTGGTTTGTACAGTAGGTAGGGACTGGAAAAGGGAGAAGCTATCAAATGTTGTAGACAAGGTAAAGAATTTTATGTCTTATTCCGGAAAGGATACATTTCCTTCACGTTTTAAAAGGCTATAAACCAAATCGTTAAATAAGTCTAGCACTTTGGTTTTTCTTTAGCCCTTTGGCAATACTCATCATACGCACCATAAATGCTTACAACGTTTGCCAACTAAGTATATCTGCGTAACTTTCAAACGTGAAAAATCATAAAAAATACCCCATCTAAAAAATCTCATTGGTCGAAAAACGTTTCCAATTGTATATTTTTACTATATATTTTTTTAAAAATTCATATAAAATCATTATTTTATAGTCCATACCAGAGTGTGATGTACAGGAATGTGCAGGTCTTGCTCTTTTTGAAGATCGGGTTAACAAGTTTTTTTTTTTTTTCCTATGTTTTGACTCAATTTTTTAGTACTTTTCTATAAAATGGAAACAAAATAAATGTTTTATTCCTTTTCTTCTTAAATATATTTAAGTATTTTTATGTTCTATAGTCGATAATATAGTATATAATAAAAATACGTGGAGGTATGGTCTGTAAGGTTGGTTATTTTCTTATATACAATGCTTTAAATTAAGGTGTATAATTATGAAAAAAAGGTGTATTTTTATAAAAATTTAGTAATTTAATTAGATATATGTGATAATTCATGCTATTTCTGCATAGAGGATGGTGTTTAAGAGGATTGTAAATGATGTATTTATGTCTTAATCAATTCTTTTTGAAAGTTATTATAGAAAGTATTCATTTTCTAGCTTATAAAATATCTATCTAGAAGTTATTTTTTTTGAATCATTAGCGACAGTTCCAAAAAATTTTCATTTTCAAAAAAAAATCTAAAATATTGAATGAATAAATCGAAACTTTATACATATTTATTCTTCCAAAAAAACAAAATTATATGGAGATATTCTTCTGAAACATCATAATAATACGTATATCCGTTCCCCCGAAAAAATTAAAAATTTTAATTAATAATAAAAATCACAAGAATGTACTGTACGTATTTATTCGTTCAAAAATCACAATTTTATACGTATCTATTCTTCTAAAAAATCACAGTAGCATTCACGTTTATTCCTCCAAAAATGCACGTCTATTCTTCTAAATGTTACAATAAAATGTGCATCTATTCCTCTAAAAACCACCCTAAAACACACATCTATTCCTCTAAAAACCACCCTAAAACACACATCTATTCCTCTAAAAACCACCTCAAAACACACATCTATTCCTCTAAAAACCACCCTAAAACACACATCTATTCCTCTAAAAACCACCTCAAAACACACATCTATTCCTCTAAAAACCACCCTAAAACACACATCTATTCCTCTAAAAACCACCTCAAAACACACATCTATTCCTCTAAAAACCACCCTAAAACACACATCTATTCCTCTAAAAACCACCCTAAAACACACGTCTATTTCTCTAAAATTTACCCTAAAGGACACATCCATTCCCCTAAAAACTCGCAATAATACTACAACTATTCCTTCTCTCAAAAAATAAAAAAAATCAATAACGATATATCTTAATAACAAAATACAAATAAAACGTAACAATAATTTACATTTTTATTTATTATAACCAACAAAAAAATATATATTTATTTTTAATCTTCTTTACGTAATGCAATCTATCAAAGAAGGAGAAGGAAAAATAAATAAAAAAAAGGGGGGGAATAATTTGAAAGTATTTTTAGAGAGAAGTAATATATTAATCAGAGAGAAAGCATATAAGATAAAAGTAATGCAAGGGAGAAGAAGAAAAGATGTCTTCTTTCCTGATGCACGCCAATTGCTTCTCTTTCCAATCCAGATGACACGGGATGGCTGCGACTTTTTTGATGAAAACTCGATACAAAGACATTTTAAAGAAGATTTCTATAAATGCCATTCTTTCAAATTATTTATAAAAGCAATAATAAATATAAGATCATCCTCCTCCTGACTCTACACGTCATAGGACCTATTTACCGTCCTTCTATAGTAACTTAACGTCTTTCCATTTACGTAATAGTTCACTGACCTACCATACGATGGAAGAGGGATTTTTTAATGTTATTTAAAAGAGATAAAGAATATTTCTTACTAGTTTTTTTTTAATTTCAGCCCATTATTGGGCTGCTAATTTAAAAAATATATAACAGATAAGTTTCTACTGTCTGTCCTTTAATAGTTAACTTGATAACGAAGTTTACTTCACTTCTTCACCTGTTTATCAATTGCAAAATAACTCAGTACTGTTTAATTAGGCATAGAATTTGTTTAATATTAGTTAACTAGTATAGAAATTCCCATCGATTTATCAGAGAAATTCTTATATACAAGTTAATTCACTGAACTTCCAAGTAACTTAAAGTTACTTCGAAGTAGACAGCATTTATTTAGATTTATCTGGACTAAAAATCAATCTAAAAACAGTCGCCAGAGCTCAAAACCAGTTTCATTTTACTCCTGTAAGCAGAATATATATTGGTCCATTCTTTATAGAATCTAAACTTTAAAAAAAAAAATTCCCCCCCAAAAAAAAAATTTAAGAGGAGGAAGAAAAGAAAGGCCCGCAGCTATATGAGTAAAAGAAATTTAAGTCTCGGGAGTTATATTATCTTCAATGTTAAAACAAAGCAAGTATTTTTCTCTTTACTTTCTTAATACATATATAGACTAACAGGAGAGATTGATGGCATCTTCTTTCTTCTTTGCCCCGAAGAACTGAAAAGATTCTGTCCAATGGAATATTTATGGAAGTGATTCGTCATTGCTGTCTTTACTGAATGGCTATTGGGGAAATTTAAAAAATATCCCCCTAAAAAAAGAGAAAATCCTCTCTTCTCCTTCGACCCACTGGCTTGGTAAAATGTGATTTCATTTGTTATATGGCGTTTGACTAAAATTCTTGGTCGAATTCGATGGTCGCAGCTTGTGGTTCCAAGGGGAAACCACCATTGATGTTAGTTTATGCAAAGTGAGCTATGCTGATGTGTTTGTAGTGTTGAATAAAGACATGCAAAGAAATCGTTCCCAACTGTCTTTTTCTAATCGAAATTTCTTTGATATAATGGCATCTATCTGATGGCTCTAGCGTGATGAATACAATTAAATGTAAAAAACGAATTTAAAAACTGTATGTGTGGTTTTTTTATGTTACGAATTGTGTTATTCTAACTGTAATATTAAGCTGATACTTATAGATTTTTCTTCTTGATGAGAAAACTGTTAGATTAATGTACGTGTATGGTGTAGGGCGAGGTCCACGCGTAGAGTATTACAGGAGCTGCTTAAACAATCAATATTCATTATTATCAAATCTACCTTAGGGAATGACTTTAATATTAGGAATAATATTAACGAAAGGTAATTTCTAAAATATTTATTTTTAAGACAATTTTCGCAAGTTGGTGTGTAACTATAATTATCTAAATTGGCTTTTCGCTTCGTCTGTCAACATATTTATCGATATTTTAAGTTTTTTAAATTGTAAAATAAGCTAAATTATGTAAATTTGAGTAAAAAAAAGTTTAAAATTTCGTGCGAATATACGTCATCTTCTGTAAAATAAAGTTTAAAAATCCTCCAAAGATGATTGGATAGAGTTATGTTTATCTAAACTCCAATTGGCCGAAACAAATATTTAAATCTAAACTCGCTAGTGTTTGTTTTGTTTTATGCAAAACTTTTAAACAAATAAAACAGAATTTCTAAAAATATAATTGAATTATCGAAAAGAAGAAAATTAACATAAGATAATTGAATTAATATAATTTTTATTATTTAAACT